GTGTTTGATGACCCAAGCTCAGTGCAGCTCGGAGCATCTAACATTGAACTGACACAGACATGTGTTTGATGACCAAGCTCAGTGCAGCTCGGAGCATCTAACATTGCACTTGCACAGGCATGTGTTTGATGACCCAAGCTCCGTGCAACTGGTCTCATCAACATTCAATGACAGTGTCGAGAGTTTGTCGATTCGTGGATCTAAATGTTCTTAATGGCTGTGGAGGGGTAGTCTAGTCGTCGAAGCGTTTGCTCATCACGCCGAAAACCAGGGTTCGATTCCCCACATGGGCACAATGTTTGAAGCCTATAATAATACTGGAATATTGCTAAAGCGACGTAAAACTAGACTCACTTACTCTCTCGTATCACATGTATACATGGTTTGAGTACAGTGTTATATCCTAGGACAAAACATGGGCTGGAAGTCATCTGACTATAGGTATTAGTGTTCAGCTGACGACATTCAAGGTCAACCAGCTCTAATTATTACAATTCTTTTGCCATTCCAGTCAACATACAAGGTCAACCAGCTTTAATTATGACAATTCGTTTGCCATTCCAGTCAACATACAAGGTCAACCAGCTTTAATTATTACAATTCGTTTACCATTCCAGTCAACATACAAGGTCAACCAGCTTTAAATATTACAGTTTGTTTGCCATTCCAGTCAACATACGTGGTCAACCAGCTTTAATTAGTACAATTCGTTTGCCATTCCAGTCAACATACGCGGTCACTGGATTTAAGTATTAGAATTCGTTATCATACACGGTCAACCAGCTTTAATTATTGCAACTCGTTTGCCATTCCAATCAACATACGTGGTCAATCGGATTTAATTATTAGAATTTGTTTGCCATCCCAGTCAACATACATAGTCAACCGGTATAGTATATAGTTGCCAAACCAGTCAACAAACATCGTCAACCGGTATAGTATATAGTTGCCAACCCAGTCAACATACATAGTCAACCGGTATAGTATATAGTTGCCAACCCAGTCAACATACATAGTCAACCGGTATAGTATATAGTTGCCATCCCAGTCAACATACATAGTCAACCGGTATAGTATATAGTTGCCAACCCAGTCAACATACATAGTCAACAGGTATAGTATACAGTTACTATCCCAGTCAACAAACATAGTCAACCGGTATAGTATATAGTTGCCATCCCAGTCAACATACATAGTCAACCGGTATAGTATATAGTTGCCAACCCAATCAACATACATAGTCAACAGGTATAGTATATAGTAGCCATCCCAGTCAACATACATAGTCAACCAGTATAGTATATAGTTGCCAACCCAGTCAACATACATAGTCAACCGGTATAGTATATAGTTGCCAACCAAATCAAAGTACATAGTCAACCGGTATAGTATATAGTTGCCAACCCAATCAACATACATAGTCAACTGGTATAGTATATAGTTGCCAATCCAATCAACATACATAGTCAACCGGTATAGTATATAGTTGCCAACCCAATCAACATACATAGTCAACCGGTATAGTATATAGTTGCCAACCCAATCAACATACATAGTCAAACGGTATAGAATATAGTTGCCAACCCAGTCAACATACATAGGCAACCGGTATAGTATATAGTTGCCAACCCAGTCAACATACATAGTCAACCGGTATAGTATATAGTTGCCATCCCAGTCAACATACATAGTCAACCGGTATAGTATATAGTTGCCAACCCAATCAACATACATAGTCAACCGGTATAGTATATAGTTGCCAACCCAATCAACATACATGGTCAACCGGTTATAGTATATAGTTGCCAACCCAATCAACATACATATAGTCAACGGTATAGTATATAGTTGCTAACCCAATCAACATACATAGTCAACCGGTTTGCAGCATATAGTTGCCAACCAAATCAACATAAATAGTCAACCGGTATAGTGTATAGTTGCCATCCCAGTCAACATACATAGTCAACCAGTATAGTATATAGTTGCCATCCCAGTCAACAAACATAGTCAACCGGTATAGTATATAGTTGCCATCCCAGTCAACATACATAGTCAACGGGTATAGTATATAGTTGCCATCCCAGTCAACATACATAGGCAACCGGTATAGTATATAGTTGCCATCCCAGTCAACAAACATAGTCAACCGGTATAGTATATAGTTGCCAACCCAGTCAACATACATAGTCAACGGTATAGTATATAGTTGCCAACCCAGTCAACATACATAGTCAACCCGGTATAGTATATAGTTGCCATCCCAGTCAACATACATAGTCAAGCGGTATAGTGTATATTGCATAACCCAGTCAACATACATAGTCAACCCGGTATAGTATATAGTTGCCATCCCAGTCAACATACATATAGTCCAACGGGTATAGTATATAGTTGCCAACCCAGTCAACATACATAGTCAACCGGTATAGTATATAGTTGCCAACCCAGTCAACATACATAGTCAACCGGTATAGTATATAGTTGCCATCCCAGTCAACATACATAGTCAACCGGTATAGTATATAGTTGCCAACCCAATCAACATACATAGTGAACCGGTATAGTATATAGTTGCCATCCCAGTCAACATACATAGTCAACCGGTATAGTATATAGTTGCCATCCCAGTCAACATACATAGTCAACCGGTATAGTCTACAGTTGCCAACCCAGTCAACATACATAGTCAAGCGGTATAGTATATAGTTGCCATCCCAGTCAACATACATAGTCAACCGGTATAGTATACAGTTGCCAACCCAGTCAACATACATAGTCAACCGGTATAGTATATAGTTGCCATCCCAGTCAACATACATAGTCAACCGGTATAGTATATAGTTGCCAACCCAGTCAACATACATAGTCAACCGGTATAGTGTATAGTTGCCAACCCAGTCAACAAATTGTCAACCGGTATAGTATATAGTTGCCAACCCAGTCAACATACATAGTCAACCGGTATAGTATATAGTTGCCAACCCAGTCAACATACATAGTCAACCGGTATAGTATATAGTTGCCATCCCAGTCAACATACATAGTCAACCGGTATAGTATATAGTTGCCAACCCAGTCAACATACATAGTCAACCGGTATAGTATATAGTTACTATCCCAGTCAACAAACATAGTCAACCGGTATAGTATATAGTTGCCATCCCAGTCAACATACATAGTCAACCGGTATAGTATATAGTTGCCAACCCAATCAACATACATAGACAACCGGTATAGTATATAGTTGCCAACCCAATCAACATACATAGTCAACCGGTATAGTATATAGTTGCCAACCCAGTCAACATACATAGTCAACCGGTATAGTATATAGTTGCCAACCAAATCAAAGTACATAGTCAACCGGTATAGTATATAGTTGCCAACCCAATCAACATACATAGTCAACTGGTATAGTATATAGTAGCCAATCCAATCAACATACATAGTCAACCGGTATAGTATATAGTTGCCAACCCAATCAACATACATAGTCAACCGGTATAGTATATAGTTGCCAACCCAATCAACATACATAGTCAAACGGTATAGAATATAGTTGCCAACCCAGTCAACATACATAGGCAACCGGTATAGTATATAGTTGCCAACCCAGTCAACATACATAGTCAACCGGTATAGTATATAGTTGCCATCCCAGTCAACATACATAGTCAACCGGTATAGTATATAGTTTCCAACCCAGTCAACATACATAGTCAACCGGTATAGTATATAGTTGCCAACCCAATCAACATACATGGTCAACCGGTATAGTATATAGTTGCCAACCCAATCAACATACATAGTCAACCGGTATAGTATATAGTTGCCAACCCAATCAACATACATAGTCAACCGGTATAGTATATAGTTGCCAACCAAATCAACATAAATAGTCAACCGGTATAGTGTATAGTTGCCATCCCAGTCAACATACATAGTCAACCGGTATAGTATATAGTTGCCATCCCAGTCAACAAACATAGTCAACCGGTATAGTATATAGTTGCCATCCCAGTCAACATACATAGTCAACCGGTATAGTATATAGTTGCCATCCCAGTCAACATACATAGTCAACCGGTATAGTATATAGTTGCCATCCCAGTCAACAAACATAGTCAACCGGTACAGTATATAGTTGCCAACCCAGTCAACAAACATAGTCAACCGGTATAGTATATAGTTGCCAACCCAGTCAACATACATAGTCAACCGGTATAGTATATAGCTGCCAACCCAGTCAACATACATAGTCAACCAGTATAGTATATAGTTGCCATCCCAGTCAACATACATAGTCAACCGGTATAGTATATAGTTGCCAACCCAGTCAACATACATAGTCAACCTGTATAGTATATAGTTGCCATCCCAGTCAACATACATAGTCAACCGGTATAGTATATAGTTGCCATCCCAGTCAACATACATAGTCAACCGGTATAGTATATAGTTGCCATCCCAATCAACATACATAGTCAACCGGTATAGTATATAGTTGCCAACCCAATCAACATACATAGTCAACCGGTATAGTATATAGTTGCCAACCCAATCAACATACATAGTCAACCGGTATAGTATATAGTTGCCATCCCAGTCAACATACATAGTCAACCGGTATAGTATATAGTTGCCAACCCAGTCAACAAACATAGTCAACGGGTATAGTATATAGTTGCCAACCCAGTCAACATACATAGTCAACGGGTATAGTATATAGTTGCCAACCCAGTCAACATACATAGTCAACCGGTATAGTATATAGTTGCCAACCCAGTCAACATACATAGTCAACCGGTATAGTATATAGTTGCCAACCCAATCAACAGACATAGTCAACCGGTATAGTATATAGTTGCCAACCCAATCAACATACATAGTCAACCGGTATAGTATATAGTTGCCAACCCAATCAACATACATAGTCAACCGGTATAGTATATAGTTGCCATCCCAGTCAACATACATAGTCAACCGGTATAGTATATAGTTGCCATCCCAGTCAACAAACAAATCAATGTCCGTTAACTTTACGTATTTCAGCCACCAACTCGAGCAACCCAGGAACGCTGGACTTACTAATATGTTTTACCCAAGGGACACGTGATTGAAGACAGCAGGATTTATTTGTAGTATTCGACACATAGCTAGAGATATGTTACTTACACAGAGCCTTTTTATTAGACATGATCAGTGTTGTAGCTGGACGTCGATTTCGGATCACAAGGTCCGTGGCTCGAATCCCATCACGGGACTCGGAAATGCTATGGCTGATACAGTGTGTTCACCGACAAAGTAACAACGAGACTTTTATCATTAATGAACCCTGTGTAGAGCTGGTACGGGATGTTATTATTTACGCTGAGAAAAATATTTCCTTCTGTCGCCAAAAGATATTGATCACATATCAGCTTCCTCGTATTAGAAACACAGCTATGTCCGTCATGAACATTGGGACGGTTTAGTTTCAGACGGGTTGTGTGAGTGTCAGTATTTATTGTGGTGTTACTTGAAGGCCGTCGCCTGATACAGCAAGTATAAACACCTCTCTCTATGTAATATTTTCGTCAGTGTGGTAAGAATTGTGAATTACATTAGCATATGTTTTTAGTGAATTGATTAAACATCTCCAAAGCATATAGTATCGTTCTAATATTTAAACCATAAAACAATTCATATCTGAACTGTATATACTTTGTATAATGATGTACTGCGTCAATGGGTCATCATTCTTGTGTACGGCATGTGTTTTGCCCTGTTTACTTCTATAAAATATGTTTGTGTTTATTGAAAGAACGTATGTTGTATTTCTCAGAGCCCTATGGACCTGTTGATGTTGTTCTCCTTTGGTTGCCTGGCCATTTGTTCAGCAGGTGAGGGTGTTAAAGGTTTATAAAATAATAATGAGCACAGTCTCTTGTTTGATACAACACTTTTAAGCATGTCTTCAATACACAGCAGATGTGTTTGAAGAGAAAATGTTGACTTGTGTCTGAAGCAAATATGATGTATTGACCAATCTTTATATGCAGCCATGGTCATCTCCGCTGGGATATGTACACTTTGTTATTTTATGCACTAAATGGTCAATATTATATAGTCCAAAATGTAAAATGTTGATCATGGACAATGTTGAAACATACGAAACCTCTGGGATAACTAACGGGTATTTGTTCCATTCCGTTTACAGCCACACAGTGCCGTGACCACCAGCACTGCTCAGACTGTGACATAACGATAGGAGACTGCATCACCGACTGTGACCGTGGATACTACAACAAGAAATGCAGGTCTGCGTGCAGCAAGAACTGTAGAAGTAAAACGTGCATAACTTCAAACAGTGGTAGATGAAACTGCACAGACGGCTGTGTCCTAGGATACCAAGGTCATGGCTGCAACATACCATGTGACAGTCCAGAAGGTAATTGTACAGCATGTCCAGGTGGTTGTGATGGAGGATATTGTCAGGTGGGGTCATACTGTGTGTCTGGATATGTACACTCCTACTACGGGACTGGCTGTAAGTCGTGCTCTAGTCGATGTAAGTCCTGCAACGGGATCACTGGAGTGTGTCGAGAGTGCCAGCTCAATTATTTTGGACACGACTGTGAATATTCTTGTGAAAACTGCGTCAGTGGGAGATGTAATGACACAGGTTGGTGTACAGGCGGATGTGAAGAAGGATGGTACGGGGTGAACTGTTCCAGCCAGTGTAACTCTAAGTGTTTGAATACAAGATGTACGAATACAGGTGATTGTACTGACGGTTGTATTCCTGGATATTTTGGAAGAGGATGCGAATCCTGCCCAGTTGGATGTTGGAATAACACGTGTCTGACAAGCACCGGATCCTGTACACGGGGATGCAGCCGAGGATTGTATGGACAATATTGTAACAACACTTGTGATGCGTGCCTGGATGGGGAGTGTCTTCAGATGACAGGCACGTGCATCAAAGGCTGTCACGTGACTGGACGTGGATGTAATTCTACCTGCAGGAACTGTTCCATTGCTGATTGCACTGCTCAATCATGTGAAGGTAAACAGATTTGAGTACAGGTCGATAAACTCGTAATATTTTTATTTCGTCGGCAGTTGAAAAACATTTGACGTCAACATAGCTGTCTAATTAAGAGGTACCATCTGCTTGAGTGGCCTTTTAAAAGTGAAGAAGCAATTGAAGGTACGAATGGCTAAAAAGACCGATAATCGGAAATATCGTCGATATCGTACATATTCATTTGTGATAGAATAAACTATTAATTTGCGCACACAATACACAAAATTAGATTTTAATCACGGACTGCTTCTATGTGTTCAGACGATGCATTGTTAGTAAAACATGCATAAACATGTCACAAATGATCAGTAGTGTGAAATATATTCATTTCTTTCAGACATTTTTGTCATTTTTGCCCAAAGTTACTTTTCCGATGTTTATCGATATCGACCTACTATCAAAGTCTATGATCTATATCGATAGCGTGTTCTAATGGAAGGCCAGTTACTGTATGGATGATGACTTCGATACAAGTATCGATTCAAAATAAAGATTAATAAATCAATAATTGTCATCCAGAAAATGTCATGCCTTTCATGTATGAGTATATTTTCTTGTCTGATCATATATTCCTTAGAATTATGAAACTATTCTAAAACGTCGCACAATGAAAAGTATGAAAGACGTTGTAATCCATGAAGTATGTTGCCTTTTAAGGAGTTTCTATTTACCTTTTCTTGTTGAGTTGATATATATATATACTGTGAATAAAAAGTTAAGCGCCACCCAGTATATTTTGCCAAAATAGGTTGTCTCAAATGAAATCTTTCAGAAACAAACAACTATCATAATTTGGTTTAGTACTTTTAGTTTAAAAACAAAACCATTATGGAAATTATCTTTTAATTAAAACAGGATGTATGCGCTTTTTGGAAAACGTGCATTTTGTTTTCCTCAAACAGGTTAGCTTCTTTTGAAAAATGAAAATCAGAAATGACTGTTATATGGTCACATGATTGTCATTTTTGACAAGTGAAACCTAAGCTTAATTGTGTTGTATAAGCAGAATAGGAATAGCTATTTTGCTTTAAAAAGCAGTGCCATCATATCTTTAACAATATTTCCTCTAATATTAAATTCAATTGATTATTATATCCCTAAATCAGGTACCAGATGAACTTTTTCTAAATTTGGATTGGTCTTCCCAATTATTTTAGCCTAGCATTTCCACAGCTTCATATCTTAGTTTTGAAATAGGCTGGCGCTTAACTTTAAAGAATCGGTATACATGAGAATTAAGAAATTTAAAACTCATTGCTATTTCCTTTCGTTGACAGGTTGGCGTGGTGAACGCTACAACAGAGATTTCAAACTGTGGGCAGTATCGGGGATGTTTGGTTTCATCATCAGCATGTTAATTTGCATCATATTCCTAAAGCGTAAGAAATCTAAAAGGTGACTTCACGAGTGTTTACTATCCTCACTTCACTGTGGTTAGATCTAAAATGGAGACCAATTTCTAAATATTTTGACGTCACTAAATCTATAATAGAGACCGACTTCTAAATAGTATGACTTGCCCAAATCTAATATAGACCTCATTCTAAATATTGTGACTTCACTGTCGCTAAACAGAGACCAATTTCAATACGCCATCACCAGGGAACAATCAAAGCATAAAAGACACCATAGCTCTGTGTTGGTAAAAGTCGATTGGTGTTAGCAGAAGGGGTCACGTGCTAACTCCCCCTTATGGATGTATGGTGTGGTGTAGATGACATGTTGTTAAGATACGTATTTTCGTCCTCACGTGTATAGTTTTCGTTTCGCACAAGGGCGCTTGAGTAGTCGAGTGGTTATAGCGTTCGCTCGTCACGCCGAAGATCAAGGTTCGATTCCCCACATGGGTACATGTGAAGCCCATTTCAGGTGTCCCCACCGTGATATTGCTAATAATACTAAAAGCGACATAAAACTAAACTCCCTAACTCACTTTATTAGCGCTTGTTGCATTTTTTGCGGATAATTGAGCCTGGTTCTTCTTTACCATTTACTCTAAAATTCACTTTAACTGACGTCGAGGACAAATACATGGTTGTTTTCTTGGAAATCCAGAAATCATCATAAACCAAGTGGTTCTGATAAAACGCTTCATCATGCGTTAATATTTTACAGGGAAGTGACGATCACGAGTCAACAAGAACTCAACGTCAGAAGGTTCAGGCAGCTACATGACTCGGATCACACACACAGCGAGATCAACAACGAAGACACGAGCCCGTTATAGTCGAACCATACACAGAACCAGACCAACATGTATGTTAGGGCTGGCTATATATATATATATATATATACATACATACATACATACATACATACATACATACATACATACATACATACATACATACATACATACATACATACATACATACATACATATATATATATATATAGACCATAGAGATCGATAACTGTTATCCAAATTTCGATCAATTATTGATAAATATCGGAGACGTAACTACCAGCAAAAATACAAAAGTCAGGAATATATTTCACATCACTGGTGAGTGGTGACATGTTTTTGTATGGATTATTAAGAAAACAGTGTCACGAACATAACTTGGAAGCAGGCCTTGAATAAAGTCCTAGATATTGACACTGTGTGAGAAAAGTAAACTATTTTCTATCACAAAAGTTAATGTCCGGTATTATCGATAACATATATTTCATATCGATGATCATTAATTATTTTCCCATAGAGGATTTTCCGATTATCAATTGTTTTGGTCAGAACTAATATATCTCATTTAGAGATTACAATAAAACAAGGGAAAGAGGGACATATATTTTCTAGAAGGTTCTCATGATGAAATTACATCAAGACCCAACCGTGCTTCTATCTAGCTTGCACAGTAAACCATGGTTATAACGGCCATGTTTATAACGAACATACGGATATAACGAAGAAGCGGATATAACGAAGATACGGACATAACGAAGAAGCGGATATAACGAACATACGGATAAAACGAACAAGCGGATATAACGAACATGCGGATATAACGAACAGGCGGACATAACGAACATACGGATATAACGAACATACACATATAACGAGCATAAAGATATAACGAACAAGCGGATATAACGAACATGCGGATATAACGGACATACAGATATAACGAACAAGCAAATATAACGAACATAAAGATATAACGAGCATACGGATATAACGAACAAGCGGACATATAGAACATACGGATATAACGAACAAGCGGACATAACGAACAAGCGGACATAACGAACATACGGATATATCGAACATACAGTTATAACGAACATAAAGATGTAACGAACAAGCGGATATAACGAATAAGCGGATATAAGAACATACTGATATAACGAACAATACGGATTTAACGAACATGCGGACATAACGAACACGCGGATATAACGAGTGAGTGAGTTAAAATTTAACATCGCATCGGCAATATTACAGCCATATATCGATGAAAACAAGGTAATCAATGTAAATAGCTGTCGACAAAGGACAGTAAAACCAACTTGACTATCACAGATATGTACTTAAAACTAGTAATTAAAATACTGTAACTATAGAGGGCGATACAATATACAAAGAGGCTATAGATCGCCGACAACTGAAGGTAGATCACCTACTAGCGTCCATGGGGACTTATAGTGCCTTTGCTACCTGCATGGACCCTAGTTGGATTTACACCATCCCTTTAGTCGCTGGCGATTGCAGGAAAAGTTTAGCCGAATTTTAAAGGAACAAATATACTACGTTTAAAAATCGGGTAAGCAAAAACTTAACATTGAAACTTTTGAGACTTACGTACCCTCTCAAGAGGACTATAACTTTACGATACTTCAACCCCCTTCGAGGATACAGCCATTTTAACAATCGCAGTCGCTAATTTATACTACCATGTTTAAAATACCATTTATCTTTTTTACAAATCAGTTAACAAATCTAATTCTTTTAAAAATGCAATAATTAAATGAAAACTGATGACCTCTTCAAATCTGGACTGACAGGATATAACGAACACGCGGATACAACGAACATACAGATATAACGAACAAGCGGATATACCGAACAAACGGATAAAATGAACATACAAATATAACGAACATGCGGATATAAAGAACATACGGATATAACAAACATGCGCATATAACGTACATGCGCATATAACGAATAAACAGATATAATGAACAAGGGGATATAACGAACATGCGGATATAACCTACATGCGCATATAACGAACATGCGGATATAACGTACATGTGGATATAACGTACATGCGGATATAACGGACAGTTGGATATAACGTCCATGTGAATATAACGAACAAACGGATATAAAGAACATACAAATATAACGAACATGCGGATATAACGTACATGTGGATATAACGTACATGCGGATATAACGAACATGCGGATATAACGTACATGCGGATATAACGAACATGTGGATATAACGTACATGTGGATATAACGTACATGTGGATATAACGTACATGTGGATATAACGTACATGTGGATATAACGTACATGCGGATATAACGGACAGTTGGATATAACGTCCATGTGAATATAATGAACAAACGGATATAAAGAACATACAAATATAACGAACATGCGGATATAACGAACATGCGGATATAACGTACATGCGGATATAACGAACATGTGGATATAACGTACATGTGGATATAACGTACATGCGGATATAACGGACAGTTGGATATAACGTCCATGTGAATATAACGAACAAACGGATATAAAGAACATACAAATATAACGAACATGCGGATATAACGAACATGCGGATATAACGTACATGCGGATATAACGAACATGTGGATATAACGTACATGTGGATATAACGTACATGTGGATATAACGTACATGTGGATATAACGTACATGCGGATATAACGTACATGTGGATATAACGTACATGCGGATATAACGAACATGCGGATATAACGTACATATGGATATAGCGTACATGCGGATATAACGGACAGTTGGATATAACGTCCATGTGAATATAACGAACAAACGGATATTGAGAACATACAAATATAACGAACATGCGGATATAACGAGCATACAGATATGACGAACATACAGTTATAATGAACAAGCGGATATAACAAACATGCGGATATAACGTACATGCGCATATAACCTACATGCGCATATAACGAATATACAGGTATAATGAACAAGGGGATATAACAAACATGCGGATATAACGAACAAACGGATATAACGTACATGCGGATATAACGAACAAGCGGATGTAACGTACATGCGGATATAACGAACAAGCGGATATAACGTACATGCGGATATAACGAACAAGCGGATATAACGTACATGCGGATATAACGAACAAGCGGATATAACGTACATGCGGATATAACGAACAAACGGATATAACGTACATGCGGATATAACGAACAAGCGGATATAACGAATAAACAGATATAATGAACATGGGTTTATAACGTACATGTGGATATAACCTACATGCGGATATAACGGACAAGCGGATATAACGTACATGTGAATATAACGAACAAACGGATATAAAGGACATACAAATATAAAGAACATGCGGATATAACGTACATATAGATATAACGAACATACGGATATAACGAGCATACAGATATACCGAACATACAGTTATAATGAACAAGCGGATATAACAAACATGTGGATATAACGAACATGTGATATAACGAACAAGCGGATATAACGTACATGCGGATATAATGAACATACGGATATAACGTACATGCAGATACAACGAACATACGGATATAACAAACATACAGATATAACGAACATGTGATATAACGAACAAGCGGATATAACGTACATGCGGATATAACGAACATACGGATGTAACGAACATACAGATATAATGAACAATTGGATATACCGAAGATACAGATATAACCAAGAAGCGGATATAACGTACATGCTGATATAACGAACTTACGGATGTAACGAACATACGGATATAAGGAACAAACGGATTTCAGGAACAAGCGCATATTACAGACATACGGATATATCGAGCTGACGATTTGTCCTAGCTACTTGCGTTTAATTTAATCGAAAACTGAATCTCAAACTGAAATTAGTGATCCCTTTTAGTTCGTTTTAAGCCAAGTTTCTGCCTTTTACGCCAACCTGTGCCGTCCATCCGGTGTTCATTTATTTCAGCTTTGGCAACTGACCCTGGATAATTGATACTGACCAGTACACAGCAGCGTATTTTCTGGGAACATGAACCTCCCAAAAAGGAAAGTGTTTTGGAGTCTTGGAGCAACTTGCCATTTTCTGGACCTTTAAGAGTGAGTAGTCTTGTCTCATCTGTTTGCCGAAAGTCGCATGTATACCGACTTAAAGAGTTGAAAAATAACGCGATGATAAAAATCCCGCGAAATCGGAGTTCAAACGATTCACTAAAAAAACAGCTGGGGTGAAAAGTGGTTTCAACAGCTGTGCTGGGCACATAGCGCATGCGCAGTGAATAGGTTCGAGCCTCTCGAGCACTCCAATAAACCATATGCCAATAAACACTCAAAGAGCCCTGGGCCTAGATTTTCAAAGCTCTCATAGCGCTAAGATAGTCGTAAGTTAGTGTTAATGAATGGCACTTACGACTATCTTAGCGCTAAGAGAGCTTTGAAAATCCAGGCCCTGATCGTATCAGCAAATGAACCAGCCACTGAAAACCTTCGTTACACCCGCTCTGACGGTGTCGGCCCGGGAAAGCGACGGACGTTTATCCAACGGAAGTTTTGTTATATTTAGTGTCATGAAAGAACCAACATACATATGGGTTAATTCGCCCATGTTAGCATGTCGGTGGTTCACCTACCAAAACCCCGTTACTGTTATAACTCAAAATGTAGCATCCCAGTAATAGTCTTCATCACTGTACATTTGGGGGCCGGCGGTCTGTTGTTATACGTCAATGAATGCTTAACGATGTAAGTTGTCTGTGCACTGTATTTTCAATTCCACCTCCACATGATCCATCCATGTGACTTATTGGTGAACAGTCTGTGGCTCAAACATTTATTGTTATTTATATATTAAATTTCTACCATGACTACAGTATCAGACGACGACACACACTTCTTTGTTTTCTTGTGTATTGAGAGTCCCGCGAAATTCAGTGTTAACTGTAGCTTGACCGTTCCCGTGAAAGCGAAACCTAAATTGAGGAGGTTTAGTCCTGGTTTGGCTTTCCCGGGCTATAACCGCTCTG